CAACATTCCAGATGCAAGTAAAAATCAATTTTACATAGATAGAACTGTATATATACTGTTCAATAATATGCAGTTTGGATATGAACTAAGAGGTATATTCTACTTTGGAGTTGAACACTTCGCTTTAAGAATTGTAGGTTCTGGTGGCTATGTATGGACTCATGATGGAATGAAACAAAGTCCAAGAGCTTACATTTGGAGTGGAGATCTAATACTTATGGGGCTCTCTAAACAAGGGTAAAAAAAGTCCAAGTTCAAGTTCATGTCATCCCTGCCTGAACCTTCAGATGCAGGCTTGTTTTTTCACTAGTAATGCCTGTCATTCTCGCGTCGTCATCCGGGAGTCCCACAGTACCCTGTAGCCAAATTTCTCGCTATGTCCAACGAGCCCTGCATCAGAAGACAAAGCGGGTCCATCGGCAGTCTCCAGCCATAATTGGAGCTGAATCCACCACTTCCTCCTCATCCAGTAATGAAGGCCTTCACACTGTAATGCAGAAACATGGTGCAAAACCGAAAACATGAAGGAATCAGTGTTCTTGGGTTTCTTGGGCTCCGGAACAATGGTGCTTGGCATTACAGATCTCTTTATCTTGTAACGTAACCAAGGGGGAAGGTTATTGATGGAGAACCAACAGTCTGATTCCTTGTCATATCTGCGCACCGTCCTGAGAATTCTTGAAGTAAGGTGTCCTGCCTTCGTATTTTATTTACGAGTCTCGGCCCATACTTGAGTAAGCGATAATAAAATGCGGTCGTAAACGCAAGGTGAACGTGAAAAATGGGCGCTGACAAAGCGAATATGTCGCTCGGGGACAATATCCAGGGCGAAAGCGTCGAAACGTCTTATGATTAGTGAGCACCACCGAAAATGAGGGGATAAAATTCAAACGTTGGAAGTGCCAGCGTTCATTACAGCTGTCATTTTTACGTAGAGCGTCAAGGAGTTCCCCGAGCAAGGACAAACGCCATACACGAGGGCTCACGGAGGACCCCTGGCAATGCCTGAAAATGTATGGTCCGGAACTGCCTCATTCTATCTGGGGCACGTTTTTTTCAGGACCTAGTCATACCCCGGGTACAGGCGGAAATCTAAGAAATAAAGGGTAAAGTTATCGTATTTTTTGACTGCCAACTCTATTTCGTAGGCCTTTGTAATGACTATCGGTATTGATGATCCTTGAATATATGTAAGCTACGGACCTACGGCCGGACTGCGGGGCCAGGCAGCCTATGGCCAACCACAGCCTGCCATTTATATCCGGATACGGGTCAGACCCCTCGTTTTATCCGGAAAATTGCCTACGGACTTCGACAATTCTGGCCTGTTTCTATGGTGAGTCCCCTAAGGCTCAAAAAAAAATGCTCCATTTACCTGGACCGGGACCATACAATGCATAGCATAGCCAGGGGTACTGCTCATGAGGGGTAAATAAGATCTTTCCAGCTGATTGCTGTATGATCTGGCAGGGGTTAGATCTAGAGACCCGAACAGATCGTTTCTACTTTAGATTATAGCTTAGCGCTCGTATTGGGATCAACCTACCCTAAAGACTTGCCTTATAGAATAGATTCGACAGGCTACAGCAGCTGACGCTGAACGTTTGAACTCTTACCCCCACGATGGACAAAGCCCCTTGCAATGAGCATGAGGAGTCCGCCGTCCGAGTCGTCAGTGACGTTAAGCGTGAGGCATTGCTACCTGTGCATACGAAGCAACGAATTAACGAAGAATATCATGAACCATCAACCTCGACATCCTCCCAGTTCACGAAACACTCTTTCTCACTTTTCCATGTTGCTGGCGCCTTCGCAGGAGGGATTTTCGCCTGTATACTCGCCCAGTATGCTGTATACAACAGAATGTTCATAATCTCATACCTCGATACACTCGAGATTATGAATAGCCATCATAAAGCTGCAGCTCCCAGTCCATGGGTTGGTTCAACCACAGTACATCACTTTCCGCCCACTTCTGCAACCAATGTTTTTCTCACTCTGTTCCCGACCGACGTTGGTTTTCCTGGTGAAACCCCTACAGGCGCTGAAGCAGCGATCGTGGTGACCGCTCCGGCCTATCCTATTCACACTGGGGCAGCACAACTGGTTGTTCCAGAGATCCTAGGATCACATACACCCAACAAGCAATTCAACTTACTCAAATCCTGGGGGACCCTTTCCCCGTGGTATAGTGCAGAGAAGGGTGCATTCGGAATCGATTCTGGACCGCAAATTCCAGACAAATGTAGAGTCACGGGCCTCCATCTCCTCCATAGACACGGAGCGAGGTATCCACATTCTGGAGGTGCAGACTCATATTTGATCGCAGACGAGTTCATCTTGAACCGATTTTCTTTTTCAGCTTACGGAGCACCTGCGATCTTTGCTGGACGACTCAACAAAGTGGCCAAGAAGTTGAAGGCTTCTGGAGATATGGAATTTTTGAACGAGTGGTGCGTATTTCATTCGCCGTTTAGTGTCTCTCGAAGTCCTCAACATCTCTTAGGACGTACAAGTTAGGTGAAGAATGTCGGTAGACACTTTCCCAAGCACCACTGGAGACGAGATTAATGCTCACTTGGCGGAATATAGTACTCACACCGTTTGGACGACAGCAGCTTTGTGCGTTTCCTTCCTGCTGCCAGCCACCACAAGTGGTATTTTCTCATGCCCACTTGCAGATGACCTCGGGATTTCCATGAGACTCAAATATGGATTTCTATTACAAGACTTCTCAGACACCAATACAATTCCAGTATTCAGAACTGGGTCCCAGTATGTCCCCTGTCCTCTTCAATTGCAGATGAGCCTAAGCATATTTCTCTCAGGAACCGCATACTCAATTCCGCTCTCAACTTCGCTCTAGGCTTTTTCGGCTATCCATTGGAAGGTCAATACCAGCAGAGCATAATTATTGAGGGGGATGGTGTAAGCCTTTTCCACCTCCTTTAGCTCCACCACCACCTTAAATATCTTGAATTGCTAGTTCAACAACACTCTCGCACATTGGCGAAACGCGTAAGGTCTACTCAACTATTGAGCCGAGGTAGATCTCATGCTCCAGACACCTAGTTGCCCAAATATCAACCATGATTCTGCTTCCGAGTCCGAACCTCATACTAGGGGCTGGCGTGTTAAGCGTTGGGCGAAGAAGTACTTGAAACATGCCATAAAACGTCTCCAATCTCAGCTTTCAGGGTTGAAGCTGACCACAGAAGACGTCTATGCCATGCAACAGATGTGTGCATACGAGGTGCAATCTTCTCTATGACCTCCAGTTTTCCTTCCAAAATTGAATCGCAACTTAGACTGTTGCTATCGGTTATTCCAAGTTTTGTGAACTGTTTACTCAAGAAGAGTGGGAAGGGTTTGATTACTCGTATGTCTCAACTCTTTTTTCCCTTTTGTGGTCGTTTTTTCCTTTTCCCCCCCTTTTTCTCTTGCTGATCCTTGAGATCAGACACGATTTATTGCACTGGTACGATGCCGGCTTTGGGTCACCATTCGCACACCCTCAAGCAGCTGGATGGATTCAAGAAATGATTCATCGTTTAGAACACAAACCTGTCACGAAAGAAACTAATAGGTTCTCGATGAACTTCACGCTCGACGGGGATATACGAACTTTCCCAGTCAACCAGAGCCTATACGTAGATGCAACACACGAAGAAAATTTCATAAGCAGTGAGTTCCCTCCGCCGCTCTCTATTTTCTCCCCCGATTCGCTGATAGTACAAAAACTTGCGAACATGAACCAACAAGTCATAACGGCGCTGAATCTGACAAGTTTTGCGGAAGGCGGACCATTGCCTTATGACCATATTCCTAAGGAGAGAAAATTTCGGACATCCCAGCTGTCTTCATACGCGTCGAATATACAGTTCCAACGTCAGTTTTATTTTCTTGTCGTGTGATCTGTTGAATAAGTTTTCTTTTTGAAATATAGTTTTATCGTGTAGCGGGGAATCCAAACCACAACTCAGGATTATCGTCAACGACGGTGTGGTTCCACTTACTGGTATCGAAGGATGCCACTCCAACGAATATGGTTTGTGTCCAGTCGAAACGTTTGTGCAAGCACAAAAGAAGATGTTGGATACGGTTGATTGGGACTGGGCCTGCCGTGGTGATTGGGATGTCGCCGTTCCGGAAGCCCTTCTGTTCCACTCATGAATGATATTGCAAACCCGAGCAACCCTGAAGACGGAGTGGCGATCCACAGACCTCCTTGTTGATTGACCAGTATTTAACCAGCCATCACTGCAGCTGCTATGCAAAGCTAAATAACTTGTGAATACCATACATGGCATTGGCAAACAATGTCACTCCAGTAGTGGTGGTGTTGGGCTGGCAGAAGGCTGTTGGCGTCGTTAGTTGTTGGCGGAGACCAATGATAATAACAATCAATGTGGGCAGCCAAAGGTAGTGAATCTATGCAAATCAGCCTTTGATAATATAACATTTGCATAAAAGTGAGCTTAAAGCTTACCAGACACCAGATCACAGTCATTATCCAATCAATCCCAAGCCTTCTTCTGCTCCAGATGTACTTGATTTCATTAAGGTCAACACAAAGTTACAAATTCGAAAATGAAATGTAGAAGTCATTCTTTAACGTGAAGGATTACTTTGAACTTCATTCTTTGACGCTGGGTTTTGAAAGGCTCGTATTCCGTTTTACTCTAACAGGCAGTTTTCTGCTCGGAGCTCTTCCAAAAATTTTGTCCCAAGGCCGGGAACTCACTGACAATAGAGTACGGAGATTGAGGAACACGAAGTTGGCCTAGAGAGATTCTCAGGAATGAACCAGAATTATTTCTTTGAACATCTTTCGGTATTGACTTTTGTTTCTATTCAGGGATGTACGAATATTGAGAAACGAATTTGGAGGACGGGGTGTTTTGTGATGTTAAGTATAGAGGACCTTTTCTGCGTTTTCTGGTTATTCGCCACTCGAGTTTTGACGTTGATATATTTTTAGTTCAGAATTTTACCGTATTGGGCACATGGTGTAGTTGGTTATCACATCCGCTTAGCATAGTGCCAGCCTATTGAAAATGTGGGGGGTGCTGGGTTCAATTCCCAGTGTGTCCAATGAGCGGAAACCAGACTCTTGTTTCATTGTTTTGTTCTTGTTTATCCATCCACTGACGACCCTGAACTGCGAAGCCTGGCTTTTTACTTAGCTTTAGATTTAGCCAGAGCAAACAACTGAACAATCCGAGCGAACCAATTGCAAGCCCACCAGAAAGTATATGTCGATTTTATTTATTTATCTATTTTTCCAAATCAGAGTCGGTTTTGGAGGTATGTATCAAATCTGTTCCTGGGAAAAAGATTACTTACAGCTCATCCAGCGCGTGCGATACACAAACGTCTTGACTCGTAACTCAACGGAGTTTAAAATGATACTCAAGCAGCTTACCGATTTCTTCTTGACGGTCCCGTCATGATAATCGAGAAGATCAATGAAGACGAGAAGTTTTGCGCCTAGGCTAAATACCAATAGGGGAAATTCCGCGAGTGTTTTGTCTGCACTTACTGTCTATAATTTATTCTCTTCGGTAGCTTCGACTTCGAATATCATGCTACTCATTGATTACCGGGGAGGCATATTGAAACCCCGTGGCCAGTAATCGTGCTTTCAACTGAGGCCAACGCCCGAGACGTCTCGGCCTTCGCCACTCTGGTGGCCGAGACTCCCGGATCCCGGCCCAGTCACTGAAGCCTCTCAAGAAGGACAAGTATATACTTTATCGATTGTATTCATATTCATGTTTGTGCGCCCATGGACTCACTAATCAAAAGGCTCCGCCCAAGGTTCGGGGGACTCGGAGCGCATTTATATTTCCTCTGCTCTCTAACAGCACTATGGTAACGGACGTGAGCGCATGGTGTTGATCTTAGTCTAAACGACCTTAGTGGGTGTTATTCAATCCCTACGCGTACCAGTCACAAAGAATTCAAATTTAGAATCGGTTTGATATGACCCCCCCCCCTCCCAGGGAATCGTGCATTGAATCGTTAGATGAGTCAAACGGACGGATCCACCGCCACTTACTACAAAACCCCTTTCGTTTCGCGAGCGGTATGTGCTTATAGCAAGAACCGTGAGGTAACCATGTTACATATGTGTGATACCCCAAAAATAGTCACAGAAACGGGAGTTTGACGAAAAGAAAGCTAACTTTTGATGATCATCAGATACGTACATATTTACCTCCGTAACCGGGAACGCTAGTCCTCCGGGGAAACAGAACAAATTCACATAAGTCTGGTAAAACCGGCGCTCACGAAAATTAACCTTTCACGTCTTGAAAGGTTCCGACACTCCTTTTCTTCCTTACGTGTGAAAGTCGGGAATAGCATCCAACCACGGCTTTTTATAAGTTTCGCCAAGTGAGAGCTCAAATTTCTTGGATTCGCCTGCTATGTTTCTTGTATCGACAGCCGCTACGAGCGGTGATGTGGTGAGTTCTATTCGGAGGTTGACTGAGCGAGTGCCGTTGATATTAGAATAGATCCCCCCATGGGGAACTCTTTAAATGTGCTAAGTTGTAAGTGGCGTTGCGACTACATAGGATAGACCACGTATGGGTCGCCCATCGAGAACCATCGAGAACTGCCACGAAGGCGAAGTGATACCACTTGGAGTTCGACATAGATATCAGGACGCCGGGGAGGGGGGCGCTTTTCTCTCTCTCTCTCTTTCCGATTAAGCAAGAGATTAGGTGAGATTAGTCGGTCGGGGATACATGTCACCGGTTTTTGGTAACAGTGAACGATTCCCGAGACGTTCAAGGAGGGATTATCCGTCAAATCCTCGTGTATTCCAAGTATCGAGCTCGTTGAAGAAAGGGGGGAGAAAGATAGTCATACGGTGAGCTTAGGAATAGCAAACATGAAAGAGTTGGTTCCACTTGCCTTCCGTATCGATCAAAGTGAGGTCCACACACGAGTCGGCAGGGCCAGTCTTGAAGTCGGAGTACAGACATAAAGAAGGGGAAAGTGGTGTTGAACGAGTTAGCCTTCAAATCTTTCGAGCTTGCATCTGATAAATTGTCCATGAATATTAATTTGAAATGGGAATCGCGATAAAGGAGGTCAGTACAGTGAAGATTGACCCAAGCACGGCCAGTGTAACTTTATTTGAATAATAAAAGAGTCGAACTCCGTGCTACTGGTTCCAAAGTTAGGCTGACTTGCCGGAAGGCGTTCATAAACGTCTAAATCTGGTCTACAAGATATCGGCTCTCCATCATAATGTTTTCCTTGCGAAAAGGAGAAGATAATACTTCATCCGAATCACAGTTTGACCGCCTGGGATTTTGCCTCGGATAATTCCGAATCGAAACCGTGAACGGGGGGCTGTGTATGACCCTAACCTTACTTCACTTCCTCCGAACCTTTATCATCGTTCGCCGACGATGTCCGCCTGAGTCTTACTGCGCACTCTCCATGACAGGAGTTATCGGTCTAACCTATCCTTCATTTCACAGCCATCATGGCTCGAAAGGTCAACGCTCTGACGACCTCTTTAGGCTTTTACAGTGGAATTTACCCGCACGGCGATATCATAACAGGGGAGCTTGCGAGAAACCCGGAGTGTTAGAACCCCTTGTGAACTTATTATTCTATTATAGCGCTCACTCACATTTTGATTGTAGACTTCGCTCGATTAATTAATTCATTCGTCGCGAGGACCGATGACCGGCAAAAGATCTGCGCAGTACGGTTTGTATTGTACCACGGTAACCTATTGAAGAGAACCTTTCATCATCCATCGTTTCCAAACCGTTTCACGTTCCATTCTTGGTGTCCAACATTGGTCCATATGGCTCCACATTTTATTACCTTCAACTCGCTCGCTAAGCAATCGCATCTGAGCAGGATCGTGCACCATTCCGGGGCACAATTTACAAGCGCTGCAAGCCTCACTGCCGCTATGGTATGAAATTGAATTATCTCTTCAGTGACAAACTCTAATCACTACTTGCACCGCTAGAACCATACATTGACGGCGAAGAGGAACAGACCGAAATAGAAATCTGAACTAGCGAGCTGGCGGGGACCAGCGGAGTGAGCAACTCGCCAAAAAATGATGGGACTAACAAACACTGCAAACTGCTATCACATATCTACGTGCGCAATATGGAGAGGGTCTTTGGCCCTTTAGGGGTCCAATCGTCCCTGATACTTGAAATCTGGTCAATTTCTTCCCTAATTCACGACGACGGCCAATTTTAAAACCCGTCTCGTTTGGGGGTGATATAGGCCCTGGAACTTGTAGTCTAACGTATAAACTCTCAGTAACCTCCCCCCCTCCCCCCCCAAAGGCCATTTTCGACCCAGTCTCTCTTACTCCCCTTCTTTCTGTGTCTGGGGTGCCATGGGTGTCTGCGGCAACTCTGGCGTTTTCGACTTTAGAAACGAATGCGTTCGGAATGCGTGGTCGGCGCTCGTTCCAGCTGGTCTCGTATTGGCTTTCTGTCTCGTCTCGTTCGTGAACCCGAAACCTAGGTCGCCGTTCAGAAGGTTCTTGACGTTACAGGAGGCAGACGGGTTAGTTTTCGAGGGGGATGCAGTCCAAGAAGCTATGGTGACAGCAGGAATAAGAGGAGGAAAAACAGAAACCGCTGTTGATCTCCCGCTTTGGAGAAAGATCGTGTTGGTGTTTGTTGGAATGTTGGAAGTTATATGTTGGATTATAGTCGGCGCGATTCCTCTCATTGTCTCTCCCCCATCCGACCTCACAAACACTCCCACTACGCCCATCACAGCCGATGAAAATGTATGGAAAAGTGTTCGGCCTTTCTTGGTCGCTGCAACGTGGACGTACACCGTCATTCGTCCCGTTCAGCGTCCGACCCCTACAGCGCCTTATGATCTGTTCGCAATTTACGTGTTCCAGTTGATATCTGGCGTCGTTGAGTTAGGTGGAGTGCTCTACGGGCATAACATCTCGGGCCTCCCGAAGCCTAATACTATGGCCGTGGTTGCGTATAGCTTGAATTTAGTCGGATTAGTCACGGTGTTGCGCGTCGTGCTTTCGATGCCTTTGGCAATTCCGAGTAGGCGCATTCCGAAAGAGGAAATTGTACGTCTCCCATCCCACTTTTTCCGTCTACATGCTAACGCGAATTTGTAGGGCAAATCCATCGCACCAGAGGACTATACAACGCTTTACGGTTGGATATCGTTCTCCTGGGTTTCCCCCCTTATCCTTCGTGGCAAATCATTCACACTCAACGAATCGGATGTTCCGAATCTAAGTACTACACTTCAATCCCGACCTCTTCTTGAAAAATTCACTGCTACGGATGCGGAGGGAAGGACGTTGCTGAAAAGGATATTGAAAGCCAATTCGTTCGATTTGATCATCGATGGGGCTGGGACGGTATTGAGCAGTTGTGTCATGTATATGAGTCCGTATTTTTTGAAGTGGGTTATCGCTCTTCTGTTTCCTTGCTTTCGGTCTCCGACATCTGCTGACGCATTTCTCTTCTAACCCCTCTCTCATTCGGCACAGTCATCTCCTGAAGTCAATCGACAAAGATGCTGTGGACGTTACTCCAGCCGACCGATCTAACGCGTATATCTACGCTTGTCTGATGTTCTTCGCGGCGTTGACGAAGGTTCGTCTCGGTTTCCTTCCACATGCTTCTCATATTCTCTCGTACTTCTTTTGGTACGAATGCTGTGCTTACCGATCCTTTTGAAAAACAGGCACATATAGACGCTCAACATTTATGGTTTGGCCGGCGTGCAGCCACGAGGATACGATCAGAGTTGATGGCGGCCATTTATGATAAGGCGTTGAAAAGGAAAGATGTCGCTGGTGGTGGGGAGTAAGATAAGGATACGTCTGAAGGCAAGGCGAAGTCTGCCACGAATGACGGAACAGAAGGAAAAAAATCTGCTGCGGGTATTGGAAAAGTTGTTAATTTGATGGCCGCTGATGCGAACACGGTGAGTCTCATCTCCCCATCCTTCCTGCTTTTTCCTTTCTTAGGTATATATATATATCCCGCCTACTTTGGCCTCCATTTCGTTCAACTTTCACAGTCGAAACAATATCAAATGGACGAGAATCA